TACACTACACTCATGGGTGTGCCTCCTTAACCCATTCGCTCCTGGAGGTTTTGCCGAAAAACGCGTTTTGAAGCTATTCGAGTGGTTTTCTGGTCACTGTCGTGCTATAAAGAGCTAAAACTTACCACAAACCGGTTTGCAGGTCGTACACTTCGCGGCCTTTTGATCCAGATGTAAAATATCAGCTTGCAAAGTTCGGGCATGCGCAGAAAGCAAAATTTCGAGATTTTTTCGAGATTTTCGCTTTCTCTCCTCCCTTCTTTTTTCGCTTTTCGTGCCTCATTTTTTTTTTCTCTTGCTGGGCATTTAGTAGGCTTCATTTTGGTGGGAATAGTTTTTAGGAAAGCTTTTAGGATCTTAGGATTAGGTGAAAGGAAAGGTAGGTGAGTAATGGAACAAGATTTTCATGGAGATTTTCGGGTCAGTGTCACGTGGTTTTTTTGCGGTGTCCTTGACTGAATTGTGCTCATTCTGGTATGGTTTGAAAGATCTCTTCACTCTGCACAAGTTACCGAAGAAAGTTGTCCTTGACCGTTAAAACTGATGACGTCACAAAGGGTAGAAAGGACCTGGATCCGCACGGGCGGTTCAGGGGCGAATGGGTTAAGTGCAGCCTATGTTTGTTAGCTCTACCTAAAGAGTCACTGGGTTACACTACACTCATGGGTGTGCCTCCTTAAGTGCAGCCTATGTTTGTAAGCTCTACCTAAAGAGTCACTGGGTTACACTGCACTCATGGATGCACCACCTAAAGTGCAGCCTAAGTTTGTTAGCTGTACCTAAAGAATCACTGGGTTACACTACACTCAAGGGTGCGCCGCCTAAAGTGCAGCCTATGTTTGTCAGCTCTACCTAAAGAGTCACTAAGTTACACTACACTCATAGGTGTGCCTCCTTAAGTGCAGCCTATGTTTGTCAGCTCTACCTAAAGAGTCACTGGGTTACACTACACTCATGGGTGGGCCACCTAAAGTGCAGCCTATGTTTGTTAGCCCTACCTAAAGAATCACTGGGTTACACTACACTCATGGGTGTGCCACCTAATGTTTAGCCTATGTTTGTAAGCTCTACCTAAAGAATCACTGGGTTACACTACACTCATGGGTGTGCCACCTAAAGTGCAGCCTATGTTTGTTAGCTCTATCTAAAGAATCACTGGGTTACACTACACTCATGGGTGTGCCACCTTAAGTGCAGCCTATGTTTGTAAGCTCTACCTAAAGAATCACTGGGTTACACTATACTCATGGGTGTGCCACCTAAAGTGCAGCCTATGTTTGTTAGCTCTACCTAAAGAATCACTGGGTTATGGTACACTCATGGGTGTGCCACCTAATGTTTAGCCTATGTTTGTAAGATCTACCTAAAGAATCACTGGGTTAAACCGCACTCATCGGTGCGCCACCTTAAGTGCAGCCTATGTTTGTTAGCTCTACCTAAAGAATCACTGGGTTACACTGCACTCATCGGTGCGCCACCTTAAGTGCAGCCTATGTTTGTTAGCTCCTCCTAAAGAATCACTGGTTTACACTGCACTCATGGGTGTGCCACCTTAAGTGCAGCCTTTGTTTGTTAGCTCTACCGAAAGAATCACTGGGTTACACTGTACTCACGGGGCCTAAAGCTCGTGTTTGGCTGGCCCTCTATTCAGAGAAAAAAGCTACCATCCGTTTCGCGAAAAATCAAGCTTTGTTTTCCCTAAATGTTACACCATATTTTTCCTGAAAAGACAGTAAAAATTTCTTTATAATAATAGAGTTTTTTGCTAGGGTTAAACAAGTTTGGCTTTCATGAGTTTCAATACAAAGGTGCAAAGCTGTGCAAGAAATTATCAACATAATTACATAGCACACAAACATTGTCATCTAACTCTTTGCACGTAGCCAGAATAAGCCAAGTAATGATCTGACATATATGACTTATCATAGACAAGAACTAAGTTAGAACCACATTACCATGGACAGGTGTCATCCATCGTGGCTGCCATGACGTCACGTCTCTGCTTACAACTTAAGAAATTCTGAGGGAGAGTTTTAATTTTTTTTTCTGTCCTGGATAAGAAACTTTTAAACTGTACTGCATCATTATTAGCAACAAATCAATCATCTACAGTAATTCTCTAGATAAACAGAACAAATGCTATGCAGAAACCTGAGTTGCCTTAAGAATGATATTTTTATTTGGTACTCTTAGTCATTGTAACCTAACACAGATAACCACAGTGTAAGTAGAAGTTATAGTCTGATAGTAATAAAACACATTTAATTTTCCAGAAAAATATCTGTGCATGGCAAATTGAACTTGATGCACTCATTGTAATCCTCAAAGGCCACCTGTGGGTGTGAAAACTTGAACCAAAAGCTTGCCTTAATCAGCTGAAGAGGTAGGTAACATTGCAAGACCCCCCAAGGCTGCTACTAGATAATGCTATCTTGAAAACAAATTTGCTGTTGATGCCTTGATACCTGTACCAAGTAGAATGCATGATGCAAATGTTAAACCATTCACTGTATGATAAACACTCAGTGAAAAACATGTAGACCAATTTATGTATATGTTGTAGGTAATATAGTATTTCAAGTGATTTTTTTTGGGGGGGGAATTTAATGTTTTGCTAATGAAGTTAAAAGAAAAGAAAAAATACAAATTATCTGAGATAAAAAATTAACTACAACATATATATCCATAGGAACCTTTCGAGAAGCCATCAACCAAGGCACCACACTGGCCGCAGAGATGCCAACCCCTGGAAATCTAAAATCTGGAGACTCTGTCTTTTTCATCCCCCCGCCCAATCGCCCGATAAGCTTAGGACATGAAGTACAGACCATCATAATTCGCTGTTATGATCGTGAAGGCCAAATAATCTTTGTCAGTGATGAAATACGTGCAAAGAGGCCCCAGAAACCAAACTATGCATCAAAGAAAATTGGAGTTTTGAGAAAAAATGGGAAAAACCCAAAATGAAATTACTGAAAAGCTCATAACTCTATTTTATCCGGGAGAGTTGTCGCGTATGCACTGAAGCAGTCAGTAAAATACTGAACACATCTTTTATTGTGTACAGTCAACTCTCTCTAGGACGGACACCTTTGGGATCGGCACTAAGTGTCCGTGTTAGAGAGGTGTCCGTCTTATAGAGAGTCAAATAAAGGGAGTAAAGAGAGGCAGGGACCAACTCCACGTGTCCGTTTTACAGAGGTGTCCGTTAAGAGAGAGTCGACTGTAGTTCCAGAAAATATTTATACCCCCCACGGAGGGAACCTCGTATTCGAAAATTGTGTTCGAACAGTGTGTTGAGCGTAGTTGATCGGATCGAATAAAATGTGGAATTGACACTGAATTGACCTCTGTTACATAAAGGACACCGCCTTTGTGACTACATCTCGTCTTTTATTTCCGAGTGTAAATAAATACCGATACTGAACGAACTTGGAAGATATTCTGCAAGATATTCTTAGAAATGCAACTGCTACTGTATTTTTACAACACTGTATTACTAAATTTAAATTTCTGTGACCTGTAACCTGTGACCTTTGACCTCTGACCTGCAAAAGAAACCTACCGAGAAGAACGCAACCTATTCTTCAAGGCGCGGTTACCAATTTCATAGGCACTTTCTGCCAGATTCTTCACATTCCTATTTGTGCCGTTTTCGTCGCCATTTTGAATATATAATATAATACATGCGTCATCGCCCCGCTATGACGTAATGCGCACGCACGAATTAATTGCCACGAGGATCTAGGCTGCTTCTGTTTCTTCTCCAGGTAAGTTTAAAAAGGATTCGTTGCAACTATTTGTTATATATAACCGGAAGGTTTATTCAGGAGCCGATGACAATTACAGTCGAACCTCTCCATACGGACACCTCTCAAATACGGACAGTTTCTTATTATATGTACCGACAAAATTATCGCAAATTTCCTGTAAAAAGAACCCTCTCTAACACGGACAACGGACACAAAATCTCAGCCCTTGGGAGCAAATTCATACAAAATTAACCTCTTTGTTACGGACACCCCGGGGACCAACCGGGGACCAGGTGTCGATAATTTGCGGTATGTGCCATTGACACTTAGTCAGACAGCAATACCAATACCAGAACATGTCAAAATGTTAGTTTTCAAAACTTACATTTATAATTGCAAATACGGTAATCGAAAATACTGTGGCAATAGCCAATTCAATACGCATTCTGTATGCAGTGCTGTTCTATACAACTGTAACAAATGACAAAGTTATGAATATATGAAAAACATATATGTGAACTGCGTGACCATATATGTTAACTGAAGGCGTAATTCAGAGTGTTCCATTGTCCATTCAATGAACAGCATCATTGACCATCAGTTGGGTCTTGAAACTGACGTCATCATATTGACCTCTCTAAAACGGACACCTCTCTAATACGGACACTTCGCTCTGTCCCTTCGGTGTCCGTACTAAAGAGATTCGACTGTATTGTGTTAAAGAAAACTATTGAAAAAAGCATTTAGCCGACTCTAGAAAAAAGATGATCAATGCAAACAATAATGGTTGCTTTAAAACACCGGTGACAGTAGAATAACTGATGTAAGCTTTCTCAACAGAGAAGCTGTTATTTATTAGTAACTCGCCAATCTTACTCAGACCCCCTAGAAAAAGACCTCTGTAATCAACCCCCGACTCCCTCGGTGATTGCCTCCTTTTCTACATCCCCGCCTTCCCTCGGAATTTCCGTTGCCCTCCGTGGGGGGTTATGGATATTTTCTGCAACTACACATTACACTTACGAAAGGGAGGCCGTAGAGTGAAAAAACAGTTTGAAAATTCTGCAGGCAAAGCAACCTTGTTATAAAAAATGCCAACGCAATTCTCATATGGTGTTTCCCTTCAGAGTTCTCATTGGCTACTGATTCAGTAAACAGTACTAGTGATTTTTGTAACCATTTTTTCCCCAGGATAACGTTCATGTTATACTGTCTTTTTTTGTAGGAGTAGAATGCTGCGAAAGGGAAATGATACATGTCCAGTTGAAAGTTGTATTAGATTTCAACCGAGATGTCCATATGAGAATGCTTGACAGGGATGGAAGGAATAACTTTCCAACTTCTGGTAGGTTCAACCCATAAACCCCAATAAGCGTTACGCCAAGTAAATGGAATTTGGGGACCACACGAGGCAAAGAGAAAGTGTTTTGACCACGGCATGATTCGCACCCACGCGCGACCTCCAAGTTAGATAATTTTATGCTGTTGCTCTACTGGTTATGCTGTGAACCCTGCGTGGAGCAAGTCGTGGCTAATTTGTGTGGCAAATCGCGTCGAGGGTAGAATGTGTAGTTAAGTGAACGTACATACTTAGTACTGATCTCAGTATTATCTGCCATGTACATTGTTGGTACTGTGTAGCAAATGATGCAACAGACAATTATCTCTCGCTGGAGTGAAAAATCATCGACTGCTACAAAAAAATCCTTTAAACCCCGATTAGCGTCTATTTTATATAAAAAAACACCACTACATGTGCAATGTGTATTTCAACTTTTCGTTATTATTTCAGAGTTCCTGTCCCTGCCAAACCGCGGGAATTGATATCAAAGCTTGCTTCTGGGAGTTCTTAGCAGGAATTTCACTCTCGGCATCAACAGGTAAGTGCTTTGAGTTTGCAAGTCTTCAGCTTCCTAGATTTCTGGCCTTTTTACGTTTAATCTCTTTCTATTATAGAGAAGATCAAGGTTACCCCAATCTAAAATTATCAACGCAGACAATGGGAATCCTGGTTTGCTTAGGAACTGACTTTTTTGTGGAAATTCGAATGAGTGTATAGGCGTTGAAACGTATTTTGCGTAAACCGCTGACACTTAAACCGAATTTACACAATAAATCAGGAAACAGAGAAACGTAGGGATACCGAACTAAAATTATCAACGCAGACAATGGGAATCCTGGTTTGTTTTGAAACTGATTTTTTTGTGGCAATTCGACGCGGTGTATAGGCGTTGAAACGTATTTTGCGTAAACCGCTGACACTCAAACCGAATTTACACAAAAAAACAGGGAACAGAGAAACGTAGGGATACCAATCCAAAATTATTAACGTGGACAACGGGAATCCTGATTTGTTTGGGAACTGATTTTTGTGGAAATTCGACGGGGTGTATAGGCGTTGAAACGTATTTTGCGTAAACCGCTGACACTCAAACCGAATTTACACAATAAATCAGGGAACAGAGAAACGTAGGGATACCATGCTAATTCGGGTACTTTTCAAATTGGAACCTTATGCTAACTTCTTAGTTTCTTCCTATCTCTACAGGTGATGGTAGCGCGCTTTGGGATTGCCAAGCAAACTCTATTGACCATGATTCTATTTTTTCCGCTTTCTTTTTTAACGAGAAGGAGGTCCAGACGAAACTACAATTATCAACGCAGACAATGGGAATCCTGGTTTGTTTGCGAACTGATTTTTTTGTGGAAATTCGACGGGGTGTATAGGCGTTGAAACGTATTTTGCGTAAACCGCTGACACTCAAACCGAATTTACACAATAAATCAGGGAACAGAGAAACGTAGGGATACCATGCTAATTCGGGTACTTTTCAAATTGGAACCTTATGCTAACTTCTTAGTTTCTTCCTATCTCTACAGGTGATGGTAGCGCGCTTTGGGATTGCCAAGCAAACTCTATTGACCATGATTCTATTTTTTCCGCTTTCTTTTTTAACGAGAAGGAGGTCCAGACGAAACTACAATTATCAACGCAGACAATGGGAATCCTGGTTTGTTTGCGAACTGATTTTTTTGTGGAAATTCGACGGGGTGTATAGGCGTTGAAACGTATTTTGCGTAAACCGCTGACACTCAAACCGAATTTACACAATAAATCAGGGAACAGAGAAACGTAGGGATACCAATCCAAAATTATTAACGTGGACAACGGGAATCCTGGTTTGTTTGGGAACTGATTTTTTGTGGAAATTCGACGGGGTGTATAGGCGTTGAGACGTATTTTGCGTAAACCGCTGACACTCAAACCGAATTTACACAATAAATCAGGGAACAGAGAAACGTAGGGATACCACTCCAATTTTGGTACTTTTCAAATTGGAAACTCATACTGGACATATAATAACCATAAGATACCCCTCTCATTGAGATTCTTTTTAAAGCAAAAACGTATTCTAACTTTCTAGTTTCTTTTTATTTCTACAGGTGATGGCTGAGCACATTTTATTCTCAGATTTCTAACCTTTTTCCTTGATTGTCTGTAGTGTTGTTGTTTTAGATCGGCCACAACACTGGGCTTTGTAGGCTTTGACTTTTATTCAGTCTTTCCAGGTCAAAGCGAAGATGTGCATAATTGGAGCTAAAATTATTAGGTGGAGATTTGGAATCCTGAATCCTGACTGACCACAGACGTCTGCTTTTGGTTGAACTATTGTATCTTCGAGTTTTATAGTTTGGCTGGTATGAGTACATTACGTGATGAATTTCTTTTTTAGAAAGGTCTTTTATAAGATATACTATCACAATTTCCCTTAGCAACGGCTGGCTTTATAAGAAGCCATACTTCAAGCAAAGCCAAGTCATCGTTCTTTCGTGATCGGTGACTTTCAACAGATTCTTCTCCATCATTTTATCTGAATAACTAGGCTCGAAATATTCTTGTATTACTCGTAAATTGAAGCTTATATCATTTCTGGTTCATGATGTATTGGGGTATCAATGGACCTTTTATCGAACTGTTATAAGCACTGAACATTTGACTTTGTTAACGGTGCAGTTTTTTGAAGTTTGCTTGCTAATTTTTTTTTGTTTAGAGAAAGGGTCAATTATATCAGATAAGTTTAAAACAATTGTATTTTATTAACAGATTTTCAACACAAACTAATAAATCCTGTTGAAAATCTCAGTCTCAGATTTCAGTAGCGATATTTTATAAAATATATTCTGGTAAAAAAGAAAGAGTGTAGTCGTAGCGCCTCAACCTTAATAAACTATTTTTAACTTTTAAAGAAATTATAAAGAAATGTTTGATTTGGAAAATCTCTTTCGGTTTAGTGTTTTTTCGAGGCGTACGCACATCAAGGATTGTTTCTATTTTTATTATTTCTCCTTTGTTTATACAAGTATTCAGAATAATTATTTCTCTCCCTGTTTTCCGACAGGTGCGAGTGTTTGCCATTTTGAATTTATCGTTTGCCCTACACATGAAGTCTACCCGTGTTATAATGCGGTGCTACTAGACATAGATGAACTGGTAAGTTTTTGCTACCTTCAACTTGCTTTTTCTGCAAGAGAAATCAACTTATTTGACTTAATTTTAATGTGTAATTTTAGGCCGTTTGTACATTCTTGTTTGCTGGGCTGTAATAGTCGTGTTTACGTTTTATTAACTAGGTATACCTATCGATAGAGTGCCAACGAACAAATCATGCGTATTTTGCTTAGGAATAAAATTCCTTTTTTCCCATTTGACCGTTTCTTGGTCCCTTCCTGTTGCAAGGATTATTTTCTTGAAAAGTTCTCAGATTCAGTCTGGTGGCTTTACAAACCTGCTATGTAAAAGTGTGAAGTGCCTTGAAAGAATAAAGTCAGCTTTGCAGAGGAAGCGATCCAGAATATTATGAAGTCCAGCTACAAATCTACTGTCGGTTCGGTTTCACATTGTTGATAAATATTTGCACAGTTTAATCATTTAAACCTCCTTTCAAATTTGCCGAGGCAATGAATGATTCGCTGGGCCATCTGAAATGTTTCCAAGGACATGCGATGTACGGCACGTCGGTATTTAATTTTAGTTCATTATTTTTATACTGAACTCGGCCAGGTTTCGAAAAAAATGGCGTTGTTTTCTTTTCCTTTGTCGTTCGCTTTAGGCTTGTAATTCGTTTTTGTTCTCATTGTTCTTGTTTGCTGGTTAGATTTTTTCCCCAACACCAGATTTTCCAACAGAAGCGACTGCATTCTTCGTGTCAAGCTTTCCTTATCTCCTCGTGTAATCTGATCCTTTTTAGTGGTGAGAATATTGCTTGCTGCACATAGAACACTTTTGCTGTTTTACAAACTTCTCTTCGTTAAAACTTAACATTATGGCCCCTAAAATTAATAGAATATATCAAGTGCTCATGTCTCTTGACTGCGGTGGCCGGGTTTGACGAAAAATTTAGGTAAATAAACACAAGTCACAACGGCGGGAAGTGTGTGAAATTTTGTTTGTTATTCAACTTGAGCTCGTGCGCCCGGTACTGCCTTTTGATTGGTTCACAACTGACCACTTGGTCTCAGGGGAATCTACATTACATTGGGTTACGCTTTTTTCAGCTCGATCGAGAATTTTTCTGCCTATTGCCCAGTCTTACGCGGCTCTATTCTGCTGCCGCCTCGCCATCCGAGCGTCTTCGCTCGGATGGCTCGTTGGCAATAAGCCCTGAATTTTTGTTGTAAATTTGTTTATAGGGGAAAGTTTTTTTATGAGTAAATGGCTTGGTGGATATGTGATATACGTCAGCAAACCCTATTTACACAGTAAGCCAAGCTTAGAGTAATAAAATTAAGTTAAATGAATCTGTTTTCAATTTAAGCAGAGATGATTAATCAAACTGATTAATTTTTTTCTCTCAATTTATTTTAAAATACTTTTTACAGCGGAAACAGGGCGAGAGCTCCAAACCAACAAACCCCAGTAAAAAGTGCCTCAAGGATCAGATACTGCTGCAGCGATAACAAAGTATGTTTACACTTGTTTTCCTGGCCTTGTTTACAATGACAGTCACAGAACAAAGTAATCTTCCTTGTTTTATGAGGATCTGCCAAAGCAAAGAACGAGAGTAAGAAAGTGGAAGAGAAAGATTAGTAACACTAAACAAGATTACTAACAGCAAATTATCAATTTAGTTGCCTGCGTGCAGACGTTTCCTATTTCCTTTGTTACACGCGGAAAAGGGACGTCTGCGTAACGCCGTCGCTAATCGTGTTCCAGCGTCCCGCTGGCGGGGTATTCTATTTCGCATAAATTGTGAAATAATATCCGGTTAGAAATAAGAGTTGACAGGCCAAACAAAACATCATAAGCTGGTGAGACGGGCGAAACGTGACCTTGAGAGTCTGCTTGAACGGAGGTTTTTCTTCTTTTCTCTCTCGCGCGAAGATTACTAGCACTACACAGTGCATGTAGCATTCTAACCTTTGACTGAGTAAATCTCATTTTTGCCGCGCTAAGTCTTCCATTTAGAGGTCATGAAGCAGGTTTGTTACATGCACACTGAGTAATCATTTCCTGTGGTTTATGCTTCTGTGGGTGTTCCCGATAGGATTTGATTTCAGATGCAGTTGTAAAAAGTGTCGAAAATTTTCTTGACCTCTGTTTGTTACGGCTAAGTAAAGATTTTAGTTCTTTGGCTGGCTTTCTCGAAAATGCCTGCCTGTGCGAAGTCCACGCCGCTTTTTGTAGTTTTCCCAGACACTGTTTACAAATATGATGTGATCTGTCATGCACAGTAAATTGTAAAGAAATATTTTCTCATACACGTTAAATTTTTCCGCGTCCCCCACACAAGATTTCGATCGCTCTGCTTTTCGATCGACGAAAACTTAACACACAATCGCACATGTTTTGATTTGTTTTGTTAGAAAACCCCCGCCATAAATCATTTGAATCACCGCATACATTATCAGACCACATTCGATAACAACCAATCAGCGTTAAGTCAAACAATGCGCACTGTGTGTCAGCCTATCACAGCGTGTTCCCAAGATCTTGGGAACCCAGCAGGACGCTGGAACACGATTAGCGACGGCGTTACGCAGACGTCCCTTTTCCGCGTGCAACAAAGGAAATAGGAGACGTCTGCACGCAGGCAATCAATTTAGCCGTCCTGCAGACCAAATTCTGATGGAGCCATTTGAACTCAAAACAGCAACAACAACAACCAAAATAGCTCTTTGAAATACCCATTCCAGCCAACGCTGGGACTCATTTGATACCTTGGGTCCAAAATAGCCCTAAATAATCGTACTGTATTGTAGTTGAGAATTCTGATCCATATTAAGATAATAGCTGCGGCTAACATTGGATACTCATATCCAAAAACGAAAGATTTTCCAGTAATCAGAGACTTAGTTATGCATGCGCATAGGATTATGGCATCGCCAGGGGGCAAATATTGCAAGTCGTTGCAAAGAAGTGTATGGCGTGGAGTTGTTTCTCCGTTAAAAAAGCAGTGTCTTTGGACACAGAATGCTGCATTTTGCCGTGATTTTATCTGCAGCGGAGGAGACTTAGTCACGCTCGGCTCGGCGGCGATCACAACGCTGTGCCGGTTTTTGACAACGATCGAAGGTATGTATTGAATTTTATATGTATTGTTGTCTTGTCACAACCCGCACGCACAGCGCTGATCGTGGCCGAGCGTAGTTACACACCACGTAATTACAACTAAAAAGCTTAAATGAGCCCCTACATTTATACCTAAATTTGCACCATTATATTCGAGACCTTTTCTTTATGTAGATCACTGTGTAAATTCAGTTACAATAAATTTCACACTCAACCTCACGCAAGGAGTGTTTATCGATAGACTTTATCGCATTAATCATACAGAAACTTGAAATTTCAACGCACAAGGCAAAATGCGGCATTCTATGCCCAAAGACACTTCTTTTTAACGGAGAAAGAACTCCACGCCATACCTTTCTTTGTAGCGACTCGCAATGTTTGCCCCCTGGCGATCCCATAATCCTGTGTGCAAAACATGCGTCTCCGATTACTTAAAAATCATTCATTTACGTCTGATAAATTAATGGAGAATTTTAAATTTCTTTCTCATAATCAACAGCTTATCAGGAAGAGAACCTGGAGCCCCAATAAAGTGTCGTGCCTTACAGAGAAGCGGAAATCTGGATTGTTGTTCTGTGAAAAAAAATAATGGATTGTAAGAACAGAGCACTGAATGTGGAACAAACGCCGAAATGCTGCTGGCATTTATCTTCTCTTTAAAACCATATCAGCAGATGTACGATCAAGGTTAAGTCACTTTTACAGAAAACATTTCGTGAAATGGAGGATCATAAAAGGTGAAGCGCTTATCATGGCTTGTTCCACTAGCCTTCAAAACCAACCTTCGTTTTAGGTGGTCGTCTCTCGTTTGCCAGGTAAAAGTCCCGTAGGAAGGACTTTGGAGCTTGAGCCTAGGTTCCTACCCAGATTTCCTGCCCGCTTTTTTTCCCCTCGTGGTTTTATGGGCAGGTTTTTTCTGGCCTCCGTCTGACCGCTTCTATTTAAGTTGTAAGCGGTAGCTCAGCTCTGCCAGATTTCCCAGAGTCTTGCTTTAGTTTTAAGCTAACCCAAATTTAGCTTTAGAATTGCAATGTTGTACACCTCCAGTCAGGGTTATGCCCTTTATACTTGACTTTTGAATAGTTTGTCGCAGATTACTAGTTGCTGTATGTACTCCGCAGAGATGGTTTTGTCCAAACCTTCCTTTGCTTACACACTAAGTCTGTTGCTGAGTAGTATAGTCAAAATTTAAAATAACCATTATTTGACAGTTGGAACTTTGTACATTACTGTAGGAAATTGAAATAAAAGTGGTTTGCTTCTTGGGTGTTCATGTTTTGGTTCACTTTGCAGAGAGTGCGTGAGAGAATCATGCTAAACATCACATGGCGAGATGATAAAACAGCCCAATAGATCCGAGCAAAAAGAGACAAAGTAGGAGATATCATGGAAATGATAATCAATCTCAAATGGTATTGTGCTGGTTATTTGGCGAGAATAACAGACAACCGTTGGACAACCTGCATTACGTTTGGGACGCCCCCGCGGACACACACGGAACCGAGGAATTAAACCAATGATGAGATGGAGGGACGACCTAGAAAGTTTCTTTAAACACTGGCAATGTGTCGCGCAAAACGTGATCCGCATTGGAGAAGGCCTAAAATACGACGAGGAGTGGTGTTTAATGATGTTCTAAATATATACAACAATTTAAGACTACGAAAACAACAATTTTTCAAAGTATAAAAAGTTATCTTTTTCTGAAGGGATTAACCCATGATTTTGAACCAAAAATTCAAATTTTTCTTTATTTGTTTTTGGTGAAAATACGACGACGAATAGTGCTTGATGATGCTGTAGATAAAAAATGGCTTTTTAGACTGCAAACAAGACAACTGTTTTATGTCTGAAAAATCCCATTTTTGCAAAGGCGTAAAACCATAGTTCTTGTAAGAGAATTTGAATTTTTCTTTATTTGTTCCTCCTGAAACTACCACAAGAAATAGTGTTTGATGATGGTCGTGGTTGCAAAAAAGCGTTTTTGATGATATTTTGAATAAAAAAGTAACCCTTTTGCGATAAAAAATGAATATTTTAGTCCAAAAATTAACATTTTCAAAAGCCGTTTACCCTTGCTTTGGTCAAAAAATGCAATTTTGTTCTCTATTTGTTCTCGGTCAAAATAAAACAAGAAATAATGTTCTAGATAGAACAGTAACCTTTTTTTTTGCGAAAAAAAATTCCATCTTTCAAAGTCGCAAAAGAAAAGAAATAATGATTAATAACGTTCTAAATAGGAAAGAAAACCTTTTTTGGCGAAAACTAATTTCATCTTTCAAAGTCCCAAAAAGGTAAAAAATGGAATTTTTTTCTCTCTTTGCTTTCGGTCAGAATAAGACTAGAAGTAATGTTTAATAACATTCAAGATAGAAAGGAACCTTTTTTGGCGATAAAAATTTCATTCCTCTAAAGTCCCAAAAATCACATTTTTTGCAAAGGGGCGAACACATGGTTTTGTCCAAAAATGCCGTAGTTTTCTTTATTTGTTCTTGGTCAAAAAAGGGCTAGAAAAATATTGAATAAAGTTCTATTGGCCTATTGTGCAGAAAAACAAAAAAGCAGAAAATTTCCAATTTTTGACCAAAAACCATAGACTAACCCGCTCGGAAAAATGCAAAAATTTCGACTTTTTGAAATGAGTGTTTTTATAGTCTAAAATGGCTTCTTTTTTCATATACAAGGTTACAAAACACTGAGTTTTCACCTATTTTGCTAAAAAAAAAACAAGACAAAATTTCCAATTTTGACCAAAAACAATGGACTAACCCTCTGGACATTTCCATTTAAAAGACTCCTTTTAAATTTAACTTTTCTGAGAAAAACACTCCTTTCTATCAGAACATGAAAAAAACAAAGTTTTTTAGGGTTAATTTGTCAAACAATACCCATGAAAAATATTCCAATTTTTGAAAAAAAAAACATGGACTAACCGCTTTGGAAATTTTGGATTTTTTTGAATTTTTTTCAAAAACTTCACTTTTCTGGTCTGAAAACATTCTTTTCTATCCAGAAATGTCAAAAACAATCTCTTCTGGCTTAATTTAAAAAAAAAGCCGAAAAAAAAACATTCGATTTTTTCACAAAAACCATGGACCTAACCCTTTCACAAATTTCGATTTTTCTTTTTTTTTTAAAACTTCTCTTTCTGGTGTTATGAAAACAGCATTCTTTTACCCAGAACATAAAAAACCAAACTTTTCTTAATTTTGTCAAAAAAATGGCCATGAGAAAATATTCAAATTTTTTGAAAAAAACATGGGCCAACCCTTTGAAACTTCGATTTTTCTGACTTTTTAAAAATTTCACTTTTTGGTCTAAAAACATTCTCTTCCATCAAGAATATCAAAAAGAATCCTCTTCTGGCTTAATTTGCCCAAAAAAATGGTGAAAAACATTCGATTTTTCAAAAAAACCATGGACCTAACTCCTTTGGAAAACGTCGATTTTCCTGA